GGGAAGGCCGCAAGCATTCCCAAGAGAGTGAAAAGACAAAGAACACGATGCTGTTTTGGGGTGTCATTAACAATAGATGCTAATAAGAAAAGTTTTTCGTTAAATGGCACCATAATGGCCGCGATAAATTAACGTGAAATCGAAGAATAACTCTAGTCTAAAGTCACTGTTAAATTATTCGATTCTAAAGATATTCGTAAGAACTTTTAAGTTGTGACGTATTTCCGGGTGCAACTGCTCACATTAAGCGCTAAAATAAAGCAAAAAAAAATTTCTCACCTGAAACAACAAAAACTTAGGACAACAAATCTTGTCATTAAAAAAAGTTAAGACAAATCTTTATGGAACTGCTTTTCGTCTTGGACCCGGAAGTCGTTTTCCATACGAGTGACGTCACACTTAAATGCAGGGATCCCATTCTTTTTGGTTAGACGTGACAATTAATCCAACATTTATTTTTAAAAATATCATAAATTATGTTGAAATAAACCAACGATGGATAAATCTAAAATAAATAAACGTCATCATAAATTAATTGTTAACTAGGTTCAAAGCCTTATTCGTGGCTGGCTCTGCCGTAGACGATGGCACAGCATCGTACAAGACTACATCCGGTCTCCGCACGCAGAGAGCATGCGCAAACGGAACTCGATCTGCTTCCAATTGGTCGAGACTGAAGAGGAATATTTAGAGAACTTGTCGACGTTGGTCTCTTGTTTCTATCGGCCGTTCAAAATGGCTGCCAGTTCGAAAAGACCTCCGATATCACACGAAGAAGTAAACTCGATATTTCTAAATAGGTATTTCTTAAATATCTCACTTAGCGAATAAGCAAATTAAATAGTTTAAATAAATACCTAAGCTTCTTCGCCCCAAGAACGTGGTGCTATTGTAATTCCCAAATTAAAAAGTAAATGTAGTAAATCTAATGCATTGCCCCATTCATTAGCGCCTTTTGCCCCAAGAAATTGGCGCTATTTGCATACTACATTTTAAAACCACTTAAACAATCATGCTTAGCCGCATTCTTTAGCCCCTTTCGCCCCCTAAAAGTGACGCTTTTTGGAAACTAAATCAGCTAGTTAAATAACCGAAATAAATAGGCTTAGCCTTATCCTTAGCCCCTTTTGCCCCTAAAAAGTGGCGCTATTTGGAAACTAAACTTACTAGTTAAACAACCTAAAACAACACTCCTAGCCCCATTCTTTAGCCTCACTCTTTAGCCCCATTCTTTAGCCCCATTCTTTAGCTCCATTCCTTAGCCCCATTCTTTAGCCCCTTTAACTCAAATTAACCAGTTAAAAAATCTAAAACAGCCTGCTTTGTCATGCCACAACATTGCTACAACCATGCTTTAGCACTATTTAGCCCCTTAAGCCCAAAAATCTAAATTATCCAGTTAAGTATTAAATAAACAGCTTGCCACATTCTCTAGTCCCTCAAAAAGTAGCGTTATTTGGATAATAATTTTGAAAAACGTAAAACACGAACAAAAATTCTCCCTATTGCCTAACGGAGATTTTTTCTTACCGATTACTTTTGCTTTTCTTTTTCTTTTTTTTTTTTTTTTTTCACTAGTGAAACTATTCTGTTCCTCCACCAAATATTCCTCAAAGGTTTGAATACGAGAATGGAGAGTTGGCCAACACTAATCTTAGGTAAGTAGATCTTAGTAAATGTAAATGAGCCATAGATTTTCATGATAATTAACCAAAATGAATGCTGGACTAGTAATTCGATAGCGTCTATTAGAGCAGTTTTCGCATGACTGTAAAAAGCTCACGGTACGAAAACTGTCGTGATACGATGAGGCTTGCGCCTGACCAATCACATTACGCGAGAATTTACGTTCCATCTAATCAAATATCCGAAACACGGCATGAATACGGCGTGGACACGGCCACACAAATGTTACTGCATTGCCAGACCAATCACATTGCGCGAGGAAACAAATCCGCCAAAAAATGAAAATTCTAGAAAATATCATGATCGCGGTAAGGCACGCTTACGGCACCGACGCTTTCACAGCCATACGAAAACTGCTCTGTGATTCGCTACACTAAACGGCGTATCAGTGATATATATGACCTACTTGTATAGAGAACCAAATCAATTGATTGAAATCAGTGTCGCTAGCTGTTCAGAGAAAAACTAAATTTAAAAGCCAGAAGGAAGCTTCTATGTTCGTCACGTGCACAATTAGTCACGTGCTTGTGAGTCATACAGGTGACTGGGTTTCACAGAAAAAAGAAAATTCTTCCTTAAATTTTTTTTGCTTTTTTATTTTTCTACAAAATGGCTGTCGTGAAACTCTCAAAATGGATTTTATGATTGTAAGCGAGCTACGAAGAGCCCTGCCAATCAAAGAGCTGGTTATCACTATTGTCTGCACGCAAATTTAGTTATGGCTCAAATTCTAGCATCTCATTGGCTGACCTTGGCTTTAGTTTCAAGGTCAAGGTAACTGGTGGAAGTGCGAAAAATGACAAAAGTCAAAGGTTAAGTTAAATTTTACTTGGACTCAAAATCACCGCGAATCGAAGGTTCTCCACAGAGTCAAATATGAGGAATGATTAGATGTTTTTATCAGAGAATATTTTTTATTAAATATTCTGTAAGGGCTTCTGATATTTGTATTTTCGTATAAGAAGAAAGGAACCAAACCATAATATGTCTTGTAAACCTATGGTATGTACTTCATGTATTGTAGACATTTTTGTTTCTTCATATTGTTAACTTAGTAAAGACACTTATCATAAAATACATGAAGTATTTTCCTTAGTTACTATTTTCAAATATTTGAGATTTTAAAGCGAAAAGCGAACGCAATTCGTGACATGAGAAGCCAATGCATTGCTGAGCCGGAGGGTGTGCTAGTGTTTGCATGTGTGTTTATTGTTTATTTTCGATTGATTGGTTCAACAGGTGATTTGTTTGACATGCTTCTGCCCATGCTCAGTATCTACCAGGAGTACGTACGAAACCATCACTACAGTCTACAGGTAATAATTCAAACTTCAGTTTGTAAATGTGTTTTTGCACCATCACATGCCCAGGCCCATAATACACCTTGGGCTGCCTGTGGAACATTAATATTTGTATTGGAAAATGTTTTGGATGGCAAGAGTTTGTGTTTGTGCATTTTTCATTATAATATCATAGCTATTAATCTGTAACTAGATTACGCTCTACTAAAGCCGTTATCTGAATTGAATCTGCATATTACTGAGTTGGGCTCCATTTGGTGACATGGAAATATGTTGGAAGTCGCCACTTGAAGCACGCATGATTTTCCACTGTGTTATGGCTAATGTCCAAGAATAAAGGATTGGTCATTGATTAACGTGCTTCCATCGAGTTTTGGGTGCCATCGGAAGGCTGCTAAGTACGAAGGAAGCGTAAGAGTCGCACAAGGCGTAGCACCCAAACCCGATGGAAGCACGCTAATCAATGACCAATCCTTTAAGAATTAGAAGTAGCGTAACGATTTTTATTGTATTTTTCGTAGACTTTAACGGAATGTAAACAGCGCCCGGCTTTCAATCGTCAGCTCAAACTATACGAGGAGAAGCAAGTGTGTGGAGGCAGATCTTTGGAGTCTTTCTTAACTTATCCCATGCACCGGGTGAGTACAATGTACAATGAAAAATATATTCAAAAACTCCGTTCGTTCTTACATTGTCCTTAAATGGGTTTCCTGTGGTGATGATACGTTTTTTGCTGTGGAGCCCGCGCGTCTCAGAAGAAAACCGCAAACCACAGGGAATCCGTGACCATCTCGTTTCAAACCATCATGCCATCTTAGGTAATAAAAAAAAGCTACTTGGTATTTTCGCCTAGGAAACGTATACTTGGATGGCGGGGGTTGTATATCGGGTGGGGGGAAATTTCCCCCAATTATTTTAAAGAGGGGGCCGAATTATAGTACTGGAACGGGGAAAAAGAAATAATACTCAGTAGAAAAACATATGGCTTATAATGAATGGAAAATAACATAATTTACAACAGAAAAACGGAAATCGAAGTTTGGGTTACAATAGAACCAGAATATTTGGAATCTAGGTGTGCAATGCATCGTTTGCCATGTACAGCGAAAATTTCCATGTAATTTTTACTTGTAAAGAATAAAACTATTATCTTAGCAAAACGAAATATTTTCTACGAACAACGACGAAGTATGGTATTTCAAAAAGATATTTGACTGAATCTGTCCACCTATGAGTTATATTTTCTTTATTTTTGAGTAAAAGCTGTTGTTTATCGAGCCGAAAATTTAGCAAATATTGAGCTACGAACAGAATGTTCACTGATTGGCTGACTTGTTCGGGCTGAGAGAAGGAGATTACCTGATATAGAATGTTGGTTTATATCAAAGAATGATTGTGAAAGAAAAATCTCGAAGATGCCGTTAACTTTTACACGTGGCGACACTGAAGTTCGAGAATCAAAGCTGGTGACACGTCACTCGGATACAAGTACTTTTTAAGTAACCATGGATTATCAAAACCAAACCAGACATCAAATTGTCAAACACTGAGACAACCTCTGGGCACGCCTTAGTAGATCTGAGACGGCTAACTCACGGAACCCTAAAACAACTGGTATTGAAATGGTACTAACATTGAAATGGCTTCCCATAAGAATGGTTATCGTATGAGTAGGAAACATACGGTACTGACTTACTGAGATTGAGCATGTACACAGTACGACATGCCGTAACATTGAAATGGCTTCCCATAAGAATGGTTATCGTATGAGTATGAAACATACGGTACTGACTTACTTAGATTGAGCATGTACACAGTACGACATGCCGTAACACTGAAATGGCTTCCCATAAGAATGGTTATCGTATGAGTATGAAACATACGGTACTGACTTACAGCACGTACAAGGTACGACATGCTGTAACATTGAAATGGCTTTCCATAAGAATGGCTATTGTATGAGAAGGAAACACACGGTACTGACTTACTGAGATTGAGCATGTACACAGTACGACATGCCGTAACATTGAAATGGCTTCTCATAAGAATGGTTATCGTATAAGTAGGAAACATACGGTACTGACTTACTGAGCATTGAGCATGTATTCAGTATCCAGTACGACGTGCCATAACATTGAAATGGCTTCTCATATACTTCCGGGCCACACTTTTCATTCAGATATTCCACTTAGATAAGGTCACGCGAAACTACTGCGTAGTTACATTAAATTAGACATTACAATGTGTAACTCTAGATTTTTATCTTACTCAAATATGCGAAGAGTGATTACTCATTCCTCTAGAGCCATAGACTTGTATTTGAGCTTTCAACGTCGGATCGAATTCGAAGTTTGAAGTTTATTTTTGCGGAGGGAGGAAAACCGGAAAAGCGGAAAACCCCATAAACTTGAAGGCGGAAAAACACAAACAATCCTACTTACATGTGATAACGGTTCTATGGATCGAAAACACGAGCGCAGCGATGAGAGGAGGCGCATTAGCTGCAGCGCACGCAAATGCTACTTATTCCCGTCGAGTACGAAAGTAAAACAATACTTTGCGGTATTCGAGGGCTTTTTCTCTAGGTTCTCAGACTTTACTTGCTCCTTAAAACACAACAAACTAAACCCTAATTTCATGTGGGAGTTACCTGTTTCCTTACATCAACCCAGAGATGGTTTCAAGGTTTGATCTCTGAGTTAGCCGTGCCCTTACATCAACCCAGAGATGGTTTCAAGTTTCAATCTCTGAGCTAGTATCAACCCAAAGATTGTTCTAGGGATTGATCTGTGGGTTAGCAGTCCCCTGGCGTAGATCAGCCCAGAGGTTGATTTAAAATCGCTCGATCAAATTAACCTTTTTTCGAATATGATTTTCCTCTTTTTTTCCGACTAACATTTCCCCCTATTTATATCCAACCTGTTATATATTCCATCATTTCAATATTAACTCACCTACTCTCGTTCCTTCAAACCGTTCAAGTCGGTGTCTCTATAATCTCAGCGTAGTGTTTTCACCGATTTATGCGTATATTACCTGACATCATCATTTCCAGAATTGTCGATCAGTCAACATGACATTTTACTGTCCAGATGACATCTTATGTTTGATGTAAGATTTTCCCCCAGATAGTTAATCTTGCTCATAGTATAGTCTTGTCTTTCTCGTCAGAAATCCTCTGAAATCCTGTCAAACTCAATATTAAATTTGAATTACTGTCGAGATAAATCTGAGCGATAATAACTCAAATCATTTAGTTATCACTGAGAAATCACACATTTTTGCAAGTATGGGATTATTGTTGTTTGGAGGCATTCGATGTTTTTGTAACGTGGTCGCAATGGGCTGTTCTAGAACGGGTTTAATTGCTTTATTCATAAATGGCTCGTTTTTAATATTTTCATTTCTTGACAAGTTAGAGAGTGGTTAATTGTAAGAGCTTGTATAAACTTATTTGTTCTGTCTTATTGGTTCCTTACTTTACTCGTACGTACGTAGGAGTAGAATAAGGAATAATAGTGCATTTTTCCCATTTCTTTCTTTCTTTTCTTTCTTTTTTTTTTCTTTCATTCTTTCTTTCATTCTTTCGTTCGTTCGTTCGTTCGTTCGTTCGTTCGTTC